CTGGGCACTTCGTCAGGAAAGTTCTCGGCGTTGTAGTTCTTGCCGAAGAGCTGCATCCCGATGACGGCGAAGATGTAGATGATGATGATGAGGACGAAGGTGAGGTTTCCCAGGGCGCCCAGCGTGGACACGATGATGCTCAGCAGAACCCTCATCGTCCGCCACGACTGCGCCAGCTTCAACACTCTCAGCTGCGGGGGGGTTGGGGTGGGGTGAGGAGTGAGGGTGGCGGGTGGTGAGGGTTGAGGGTGAGGTATAGGTGAGGGTGAGGTATGGAGGAGTGAGGGTGGGGGGAGGTGAGGACGAGGGTGAGGGTGAGGTGAAGGGGAGGTGGAGGTGAGTGAGGGTGGGGTGAGGAGTGAGGGGGTGGGGTGAGGGTATAGTTAAGGGCGAGGTGAGGTGTGTAAGGGTGCGAGGGTGAGGGGTGTAGGGTGAGGTGAGGGTGTGGGTGTGAGGGTGAGAGGGTGGTGGGTGAGGGTGAGGGTGAGGGTGAGGGTGAGGGTAATGGGTGGGTGAGGAGTGGGGTGGAAGGTGAGGACGAGGATGAGGGTATAGGTGTGGGTGAGGTGAGGGTATGGGTAAGGGTGAGGAGTGAGGGTGAGGACGGTGGTGAGGGGTTGAGGGTGAGGGCGGAAGGTAAGGGCGAGGGTGAGGGTAGGGATGAGGGTGAGGAAGGAGGTTGAGGAGTGAGGGTTAAGGGAAGGGGTGGGGTGAGGTTTGAGAGAGGAAGAAGAAAAAGGCAACATGTTATAAAATTGTTATGGAAGGCTGCGATAATCACAGTTTATATGCAAAGTCTTGACTGAGAATTGAAGGTCTGGCTTTCCTTTCTCTGACAGGAAATAAATTGGCACACAAGAATACTTAAGTTCATTCACACATTATCTATCTATCTATAATACTACATTATATGCGCGCGCGATAATATATATATATATATATAATATAATATATATATATATATTATATATATATATATAATATATATAGTCATTGACCTTGCTTGGCCTCGCGACGAAAGCCATAACTGTTAAGTCCAAAACAACATTCGCGTCAAACGAGCGTCTGCGTCCGAACTAAATGACTTCATAACAGGAATAAAATGGTCTATAAACACCCCCGTCGCCTGCTACAGAATCCTATATAAACACTTTTTACGGGTCTATCGTGGTTTCAGTTCCCGCAGTCGTAAAAAGCCGCCATCAAAATTTTAACCCTGTGTATTCTCATGCCTTGATGCCATTACCGTTCGCATTCGGACGAGGCCGGGATGCCACGTCTCGGCGAGGGATATAAGCGAGATGGCATTTTTTTTTTTTTTTTTTTTTTATTTAGATAGATAGATAATGCGTGTATGTGTATCAATCTCATCTTTAAAATGTTAATGGGCCATGTCGTGGGTATTCACGGTCCAACCTTCCTTCACTTTCGCATTCTCGTTGTCCCGCACTTTCTCTCGTCCTCACTCTCAGCTTTTCATCCTTATTCTCATTCTAACTTCACCCTCAGCTCTTTCTTACACTCCTCTAACTCCCATATTCTTATCATCCTCTTTCACGCACTTCATTCCTCACTCTTCCTTTACCTTCACTCTTTTCCTCACTCCCTTTATCCTCATATTCCTCACCGCTTTCCCTTCCTCCTCACGTTTCTCAACCTCCCCTCCACACCACCCTCCCCACCCCCCACCTCTCTCCCCCCACACCCACACCCCCCTCCCCCACACCCCCTTTTCCTTCTCCCACCCTCCTCACTCCCCATCCTCCCCACTCCCCTTTCTCCACACCCCCTCCTCACTCCCACTCCCATCCCCACTCCCTTTCTCCCACCCCCCCCGCCCCGCGCCTCCCCGCCCCCCGCCTCCCCGCGCCACTCACCAGTCTCAGCCCCTGAGGACGGGAGGCCGGAGCCGATCTCGAGGCCGAGGTCGAGCAGCGAGGCCAGCACATCACCAAGTCGAACACGTTCCATCTGTTCACGGAAAGACTCCTTGCTCAGCGCCATGATCTTCATGATGCACTCCAGCGTGAACACCGCGGTGAACACCTGTGGGGAAATCGGAAGTCGGGGATTAAAGGGTGAACACCTGTTAGCGTGAACATTGTGTTGAACTGAACACCTGTGGAAAGATTAAAATTAAACACCTGTTTAGCGTGGAACACCTGAATATATGAACACCTGAACAGGTGGATGAGGTGTATGAACAATGACAAAGAAAGAGAGAGAGAGAGAGAGAGAGAGAGAGAGAGAGAGAGAGAGAGAGAGAGAGAGAGAGAGAGAGAGAGAGAGAGAGAGAGAGAGAGAGAGAGAGACATCAAAGATGACAACAATAAAGACAGAAAAAGAATTGGAACACCTGTGATCAGAATGAACACTTGTTGTAGGACAGAAAATTTGGATGAACAATGATGAACACATGCCGTTTCTAGATTTATAAAATAATAATAATTTATCATTATTATTTATTATTATTATTATTATATATATATACATATATATA